TTGACTTGACTTGACTTGACTTGACTTGACTTGACTTGACTTGACTTAACTTGATTTGACTTGACTTGACTTGATTTGACTTGACTTGATTTGACTTGACTTGAGCTGATTTGACTTGACTTGACTTGATGCGATGCGATTTGATAGCGTTTGATATAATTTGATTTGATGTCATATGTCTGGATATATATTCTGACTTCATTTCATTTAATAACATTTGATTTGATTTTGAACGATGTGATGTGATTTGGTGTGTGTTGATGCACTAATTTGATGCATGTGATTTTATGACTCGTTGTGATGTGATATCATAAGATATGATTTGATATTGTGTCATGTCATATGGTATGATTTGATTTGATTTCATCCGATTTTATGCATATGATATTTTATTGATATGGTTTGATTTGACATTATGCGATGTGATGCGATTTAGTTTAGTTAGTTTAGTTTAGTGATTTGAGTGACATTGGAAAAAATCTAAGCAAATGTCTTTTCTTTAAAATTTCAGACCTTTACCTTAAATTGTTAATACAAATTTAAGTGAAAGGTATGAAATTTAAAGAAAAATCAATTGCATGCATATCATCTTTTTTCTCTCATATATGACATATATACATCTGTGTAAGCTTCTCAATACTTCTTAATTGTTTCAAATTAGGATCGATTTGTTTTCGTTTGATTCCGTTCTTTTTTATGATTATAATATTTCCCACCTCGCCATTGTAATAGCCACAGCCTGGTTATGCTCGAAGAGGATTTCACAGCGCGTGAGCATCACATCATCATCGAGTTCCTCATTTCCCTTTGGTATGCATTACTCTCGAACACGGACATAATTTGCTATCTGGTGGTGTTTATTAATCAGGTAATATTAATAATTTTAAAAATTAATAAATTTTTGCCTCTAATCATGCTTTCCTTCCACGTTTACTTTCCTTCCTGTAGGTAGTAAATGCCAGCATCATTTCTTTGCCTCTACCCCTAATGGTGTTCCTTTGGGGTACACTCTCATTGCCGCGCCCAACGAAAACATTTTGGGTCACACTTATTGCTTATACACAGGCGATTGTGCTGATTAAATGTATATTCCAATACAAATTGATTTGGGCCAATTATATTAATCTGCCGAATGATCCATTGGCGCCAGCAAAAATATTCGGCGTCGAATTGAATCCAAATTATGCCAGTTATGATTTGTTACTACTGCTGGTGCTATTCTTTCACAGGTTAGTGCGCACAATTGGCGCTTTATGTAGTTAAGTACTTATAGGTATTTAAAATCTTATTCCGTAGATTCATTTTAAAATCGCATGGTCTCTGGAAGTCGGAATACAAGTTCCCACGCGGCACAACATCAGTCGATACGTAAGTTATCTCAATCACATTCCGCGCGATATACTATTTTAAAAGCATAGTCATTAATTTCAATTTATTTATTTTAAGAGGTATGGTAATAGCATGGGAATTTTTAAACTCAACGCATATCTGGTTTTAAATCAATTGAAATTTCATCTTTCTTACCTAAATTATTAGCAAGCGTTTTCATTACCGAAGAAGAAATTCAAATTCGTAAATCTATGCATATTTTAAAAATTCAAAGAAGGTATTTTAGTTATGGTTTTAAAACTCGTTGGCTTCACATAAATGGAAATATAAGCACCTTAACACAAAATTTGTTCTCAATACTATTCAAGTTTACTAAATTTAGTCAGCAGTAGTGGTAGTTTACATATTTACCAGAGAAATACATATCGCTCATTTGCTCCAAGAGTGTCATAATCCAAAAAAAAAAATAATATTGAAATTAATTAAGTATGCAGAAATGACATCCATCTCTTCCTCTATGCTGTGTGAAGATTTCAGAGTTGTGGGGTAAGTAAACTGTAAACTTAAAGCTGTTTTTCTCGAGTTATTGATTTTGGATTATGGTGCTCTTGCCGCAAATCTGCGATATGTAGTTAAACTATTTTGTTCAACTATTACGCAGGTTAATGCGCAATTACAATTAGTCGAATTGATTAATTCATAACACACAACAATTGCATTTTTACTTTTGTGCGAAAAATTTAAGCTTTGATTTTTTTATATAACATATAAGTATGTATGTATGTATGTATGGATGTATGTATTTTTACACAGAACACCTGAGCTAGGAAGTGAACAGCAATTGCAGGACAGTAACAACAAAGAAAGTCTCATTAACGATTTAACTGCTGACGTTAATGGCGCTCAAAGAAGAAAAGCCATTACGGATGTCGAAGATAGTTCCATGCCCGAATCAAGAACTGACACTGATAACAATGCCAGACCAGAGGAAACGGATGGTGTGCGAAGAAGAAGCCCTCGAAATCGACATAGTGATAATCATGAAACTGATTCCGCACGAGATAGCAGAGAGAACGTCACTGAAAATAATAGAAAAGAAGGTGGCGCTGAGCCACAGGATGGCACGCACTTGATTATCAAAAGAGATGCTGCCGAAGATGGTGATAGGAGAAGTCAAGCGAGTGTTATGAGTGCTAATGCATATAAGCAAAAGCTGAAGCATTTAAGGTAGAGATTCTGAAATTTTTGATGCGCTCCTCTGTTTTGTTATTAATTAAAACATTTACTTCACATAGACGTGCCAAGTACCTGTCATCTGTGCGAAAATTCTTCACAAATTTATTATCAAAATCTCGCCTGCCAGCTGATGTCTATGCACTGATGTTCCTCTGCGATTTCGTCAACTTTTTCGTGTTACTTTTCGGTTTTACTGCATTTGGTGTAAGTTAATTGTAAACGCTTTTTACTACATATTTGTAAGGCATACTTTGGAATTTGTAGTAGTGGTTTTTTGAGCACAATTTTGGGGGTTGGGAAACAAATTGTGCCTTAAAGGTTGCATGAAGTATATCTTGCAGTGGTATGCAGCATTCACGACAACCCGAAACTATTTGAATTCTTCTGAAAAGTTTTTTGAAATGAAGCGGAATTACGAGTTGTGTGCTGTGTGTGGTAAGAGCTAAGGCATTAAAATTGTGCTTCACTTTAACAACGTTTGGAAAAATGTTTGCGGCGTTCCATTACTTGAATCTTCGCTTGTTTGCGTAAATCATTTCAATGCCTTTGACTTCATTTAAAGCTATCTCAACCAAATATTTTTAAGTCTACGCCTTTGTTACCCTAATAATACCTGAGTTTCGAATCTCAGCACAGAGTAGACTGGGTTATGTAGGCTTTAAGATCATCGGTCGACTGCGGTTTATTGGCATGGCGTCCGGGGAAAACAACAGTGCCGCTAGAGGGCGCCAAAATCTACCCTCGTCAATTGCAAACCCTTTCAGCTTGTAGTGTTTTTCCATGTCAGTGTGTGTGTGCTTCGATACGAACTGATCGCTATCAGGGCAATTCTGGCTAAGACAGTAAAAAGTCTTTCGTAAGTTCGAAAGACGTGTGTTATTCTTGCAAAAAAGTCTTATAAAAAAGCTCACCTACGCCTCTCGTTGTGGAAATTTATTTTGAGAGGAAAGGAAAATATATGCATAATTTTAATTTTATTTATTTTTTCTTAATTTATTTTTCTTTTAATGTTTAGTTATTGTTTTAAAAAGAAGAATATTTTTTTAATTTCATTTAATTTTTAGGGAGTTATTTTATTTATTTCTTTTTCAAATTTTTTTTAGTTTAGTTTTTTAGTTTAGTTACATATTTTTTATTTCATTAAATTTTTAATATCTTATTTTATTTTTCGTCTTTTTTTAATTAATTTTCTTTTAATTTTTAAATTTCGTTTGAAAATAAAAATATTATTTTTTTAGTTTTTGAGTACTATGTTCTTATTTTTGGTTAAATTTTTTTCTTTTTCTAATTTAATTTTTAGATTTCATTGTTTTAGGATGAAAAACAAATCTATTTTAATATCGATTAATTAAAAAAATATATAATTATTTAGTTTAGCTTTTTTAATTCAATAGTATTGACAAAGTTACCATAATGTATGGATGGTATTGATTTTCAGCGTATACGTGTTTAGTAATGTTCTTTTTGTTTTTAATGTTGTGTTAGTCACAGAAATTTAAATGTTTTTATGTTATTAATTTCGAAATTTGTTTAAAAAGTCAAAACAATAGTATATCAAATAAACGAATTGCCCCTGAAGATGCTAAAAAGTATTAGCGAAACGTTGGGCTAGAAAAATGGAATAACTTAGTTTTATTCGCATCTTGAAACTTAGATCAGACGAGCCTATTAGTATACATGTTAAATAAATCAAGAAGTGATCGGAATATACATACATTAATTTTCTTTTATTTATTACTTTTAATTTAAAAAAAAAAATATATATATATATTTTTTTTTATTTAATTTTATTTGTAAAAGTCTTATTGCTAAAAGACAAATAGAATAACGCTAAGACCTCGTCGTTAGCCGATTTTTGAATTTTGTTTTTCGAAAGACTGAGTTGAAGCACAGTTGCCAGAATTGCCCTGTATGTTGCGAATTTAGTCGAAGTGCTGATTTTTACTAAACATAATATTTTGTCTAACGCTGTAATATGTATTTGTTTTCAATTTCTATTCGATATATTGTGAGCTATTTGACAGATTTTGTATAAATATGGATTCGAAATGATAATGAGTTTTGCCTTTCTATATTAAGGTAACGCTATGTATGTACGTAAATCGCCTCATCAGGATCAGCCACAAAATTAAGCTTTGATATAGTCGTTAGAAAATTGAGATAGAAACATGTAAATAATAGGTTGTTCAATTACTCACATTTTTTGGGATTTAAGATTATTCAAAAAATTACAATTTGCAAAAAAAAAAAATTGTTTTCAATTTTTATATTATTCAAGTTTTCATCGGTTAAAATGGTAATTTTTTATACAATATGATTATATGTATTTTTAATTTTCTTTATATTTCACCTTTAAGTCCTAATAATTATTTCTTGTCTTATCTGCACAGTCTCAACAATCTGACAGCGCCGGTGGTGTACAAACATATTTGGAGGAAAATAAAGTGCCAATACCCTTCTTAATCATGTTGTTGGTGCAATTCATATTGATCGTAATCGATCGTGCTTTGTATCTGCGTAAGGCTCTGCTGCACAAAATCATTTTCCATTTCCTCTCCGTTATCGGCATACACATTTGGATGTTCTTCATTGTGCCTGCAGTGACTGAGCGCAGTTTCTACTCATTGGCACCGCCAATTATTTTCTACATAATCAAATGTTTCTACATACTATTGTCGTCATATCAAATTAAATGCGGTTATCCCAAACGTATTTTGGGCAACTTCTTAACAAAAGGTTTCTCGCTAGTCAACATGGTGGCATTCAAAGTGTAGGTCTTACTCTTAGATACTCTTTAGATAGATACCATAACATTTATTTTACCTCCACAGCTACATGGCCATACCATTCTTATACGAGCTGCGCACAATACTTGACTGGGTGTGCACGGACAGCACAATGACACTCTTTGATTGGCTGAAAATGGAAGATATATTTGCCGATATATATTTCATTAAATGTAGTCGACAAATGGAAACTGATTTCCCCGCCATACGCGCCACTAAAAAACCGATACTAACCAAACTACTCATGGGTGGCCTATTCATTATAGCCATTGTGATAGCGCTTTGGGGTCCATTGTGCATTTTCGCATTGGGCAATGCTGTCGGTCAATCGAATATACCCTTACAAGTGAGCATTTCTATACGTATCGGTTCGTATGCGCCCATCTATCAAACGAATACACGTGATAATATTATCGCTTTCGATGAGTCAATGTACGGTGACATGAAAGGTGCTTATGTCAAGGATCGAGCGGCAATAACGTTCCTAAGCAGCTATGATGCAACTGATATTGCAGCTATTAAGTTGCCAGGAAATTCGCCTTCGCTATGGAATATCTCACCACCAGATCGCAATCGTTTGCTGGAAGAGCTGAAAAGTAATGGCACAATTGTGGCTAGCTTTGCCTATTCAATTACACGCATACCGCCTGACAAGAGTTTAGTGGGCACTGTTTCGAGCGAGATCGTCTTTAATATGAACGAAACGTTTCCTGGTCGAGAAAACCTGATCAACATGTTGGAATCAAATGGCACCGCTTCATCGAAGGTTGTGAGCTTGCCCGATTTGGTGCCTAAATTTATTAAGGTAATTTCGGCTACAAAGTGAATAGATTGCATTTTACGTAATAGTACATTCAATTTTCTTCATCATAGATATTAAACTCTGGCGATGTACAAATTGTGCACCAATTGATGCGAAATGGACAAAGTAAGTTGGAGAAAATTTGCATTACATTATTCAACCATATTGAATTTATACTTTATTCCATTTGAAGCTTATCGTCCGCTTTCGATTCGTATGCGCACCAGTTCTTCCGCGCGTATCTGGTGGGAACTTTCAGATTTCTGCGATGATGAATTCCACACAAATTTCTTATCGAAATTACCCTTGGATAAATGCAATTCTGGCATCGTTTTGTATACGTTTAACGATAAAAAGTTCCCGTCTACGTTTAGCTTTATTACCAAAGGCGGGTAAGTTAACAAGTACAGGCATTAAGGAAATAGTTTTCAGCGACGATAAACGAATCTAAAAGATAAGTGTCTGCCTAAACGAATGAATGTTCTTACTATAAAATATCGAATAGCTAAAATAGTTTTACGGTAATAACGCCTTCCTCTCGGCAATTAATTTAAAGTATCAAATTGCATTTTTGCAATGATAATTTTTATTTCGTACTAAAGCTTGGGTTACGCCATTATACGCGGAAAACCATATCGTTGAAATGTGTTCCTCGGGAGCGTTTTCAGGAACTAATGATTTTGAGTTAACTTTGGATTACTTTACTTACTTACACAAATCGGGAAATATGAGTTACTACATTACTCATGACTTGACGTTTCTTGTCGATCCTCTGAGAATTGAAAAAAACCCTAAGTCGTACTTACTTTTATCATTAATCCATTAGCATTAAAAATGAAAGTGCTGGAAAAAATAACAGGTAAACAGAGTTTTACGATCGAAAATTTTTTACTTTCAAGAATTTTATACCATTTCTACGAAAAAGAGTTTTTCCTGCCATATAAAATACATGGAAAACTTAATGGGCTTTGAGCCAGTTCTAAATATAATTTTTTTTCTACAAAAAATACGGGTATTTTTTCCATTTAGAAAAATCCTAAAGGGTATTTTTTTTGGACCACCCTAATGTACATAATTGCGTTTGCAAGATATTTCGATCTAAAATTTGTGGGAATTGTCCGTGTTTTTTTAAGTACTTTGGGAATTTTCTCGTGAATTTTCGTGATATTTCGTGTTATATATTTTAGGATATTACGGGAATTTTAAGCTTTTCAGGACTACTTCAGGCTTCCCGGGACTATATCGGGATTTGCGAGACTATTTCGGGGTATATCGGGATTTCCAGGATTCTTAGGGCTATTTCGGGATATTCAGGACTAATTTGGAATTTTCGAGACTTTCGGGAATCTCAGAATTGCTTCAGGATTTATTTCGGGATTATAGGGAGTATTTCGGCATTCTTGGGACTATCTCATTATTTTCGAGATTATTTCGATATTCTCAAGATTATTTTAGGATTTTTAGGAATCTTGAGACTATTTCGTTATTCTCGGGAGTACCTCGGGATTTTAAGGATTTTTAGGCTATTTCGGTGTTATATATATTTTTCGAGGTTCTTGGGACTATTTCGGAATTTTCGAGACTATTTCATGAATTTAAGGCTTTCGGGACTGCGATTTTGACTTTAAAAATTTAAGGCAGAAATGATCGGTAGTATTGCACAAAATAATAAAATTCTTAATTTTAAAAGGCATGCAGTAATTATATTCTGCATCGAAAGACGATTCTAATTATATCTTTAGAAAAGTTGTAGGACAATTTTTTCACTCTGCTTCTTTAATTTCAAAATATAAAAATTTACATTTTTTTACTCTGAATTTACATTTTTATAAATTTTATATTTTTTCTGTTTTATCTCAGCATTCTTGGCGTGTACACCACTTTCGTCATTGTGGCATCCCGCTTCTTCAAGTCCTTCATTGGTGGACAAAATCGCAAAATTATGTTCGAGGATATGCCTTATGTGGATAGAGTGCTGCAATTGTGCCTTGATATATATTTGGTAAGTGAGAAAAAAAACGAAGTACTCGTTAACATAATATACAAATAAAAATTTATATATAGTTATACACTTAATACTTACTTAAAGATGCCCCACGCTCAAAACAAGAAACATCGATTTTCTGCTTTCATTCTAATCATAAAATTTCGTCTCTTTTATGACTGCCCCAAGCACATGGTTATTCGTCAGTTCACTCCTTTTGGTGATGCGCCTAAGAGTTACTTTTTTCTTAAAATAAAATATCGTTAAGACCATTTAACTGAGAAAAAGTATAATAAGGCACAGCTGACGAATGGCCAACATATTTTGGTGAAAGTCAAAAAAAGTACAGAATTTTATGATTCATTTGGGGCCAGTTTTTCAGTGATAGTTTAAACTTAGATCACGTAAACTAAGTTTATATTGAACAGCTGGCTGATATTTTTTGGTTAAGCTTCGTTTAAACCAGCCAGCTCGAGCATTTAAACTCGAGCCGTGCACTGAAAAACTGGCTCTTAGAAATTACAAATTTTCTGCGGGGCACCTTCCACTTACTTACATACTTGTGCGCGCTAGCCTTTTAATTTGTATTACTTTTTTACTTAAAGGTAAGAGAAGCGCTTGAATTTGCGCTGGAAGAGGATCTCTTTGCCAAATTAATCTTCCTGTATCGATCACCGGAGACGATGATAAAGTGGACGCGTCCCAAAGAGGAAGCTGACGATGAAACGGACTCGGAGTCTATGCGCAGTCGTGGTAGCTTACGTGGTGCCAGATAAAAAACAAACGAGTGAAAAACGCACTGATTTATTCACACAACAACACAACTCGAAAGTTATAAGTCTTAGAATTTCATATCTAGTACATTTCGCTGCACAATCAAGTAATGAATACTTTCCTTTTTCTATTTTAATATTTGTGTTTATGTTACAAAAACATATAGTACATACATACTAACATTTACATAAACCCTTGTTGTTCGCATTACAAACAATCATTGACACATTTCAAATGCCCCTAGAGAAGATGCAAAACCTAATTTGAAATAATTTGTTGTGCCCCTTATAAAGCGATAGGTTATATTTATAGAAATCTCATGAGGCTGGACATGTCTTTGCGAAAGAATTTTTTTTTTTTTTTGGGTAGCATAGGTTTGCTGATGTGTGTGTAGTAGGTACATACATATATCAAGTATGCTAATACATATTGATGATGGTTGTTGATCCCAATTACTTATTATCTCAAAATTACGAAATTTGATTTGGAAGAAAATTCACATTTCGAATTATTATGAAAATACGGTTTTGGACTCCAAATAAAATTTACTCGAATTTCAAAGAAAAGAAGTTGCTAGTTTTTTAAATTGTACGTTCATCGTCGTTTTCGAGCACGTCATATCAGCTTGATAGACTCAGTAGCTCATTGAGAGTTGTTTAAGCCGTCTCATATGCCCTCAAACGCCCTCAAACGCCCTACTTAGACTTTTGCACTTTTCTGGGAAGCATTAGCAAGCATACTTTTTTCTTGTTTTTTTTTTATTTTATTTACTTAAACATACACACAAACCACATAGTAAAACTCCTTAAAAGAACTGCCGTTAATGTTGTACACTATTTTTTTTTTATTAAAAAACAAACCGAAAAAATGGGGAAACGATATTATTGAAAACGTACATAAACAAAAGAGAAAAAGGGAAGGGGCATTTTTATATTTGTAAGTTCAAAGCAACAAAAACTTATTCATGCAAATGTATGTAAGTAGATTGGCTTTTCATTTTTGTATAAACTATAATAAAAAAATTAAAACTAATAAAAATATGTATAAAAACCCAGAGTAAAAAAAAAAGAATTACTTAACATTAAAACTTAGTAACTTAAAATAAATAATGTTATTAAGAAATAAAGTTAAGAAGTCATATTCAGGGATCTTTAGCATTTTATACTGAATTTATGTTTTTAGTTTTCTAAATGCTTAATAGAAAAAATACGAAACTAAATACATTCATAAATAGTAAACAAGCAAATGTAACAACAGAACATAATAAATACCTATGTTAGCGAATTAAGTAGACATAAGAGGAAGAAAACAATAGAAATAAAACAAGTTAGAGAAAATGCAAAATAGTTATAGCGGCAGAAAATATAAGGCATTCATTGAAAATAGTCATTGTTTTGTTTTCAAAATATTAGTTTTGGCTACCGAACTTAGGATATTTACTCCAAAAAAGTTGTTTAGCTATCTAGATAAGTGGTTATACTAATCTTCTCACTGGGCATATAAAAGTAACTAAATAACGCAAATAAAAAGGGGTTGTTGCTAAACCATTTTTACTTTTAACCAGAAAGAGTAAATACCCAGAACGTAAATGCAGCTAGCTAAAGGATTACAAATGTATTAGATTCCGTTTTTTTTGTTACTTTTTCAGTTTTTTCTTCTTAACATTTTTTAATAAAATATTCTTAAATTAGTGACTAACCACTTTCGTACATAATTCTTCTTTCTTACATAAATCCCTCTGTAGCTTAACATGTCCGTAAAAGTTTAATAGATCTAGGAAACAGTTGCTAAATATTTATTTAAACTATTTAATTAAAAAAAAAAAGAAGTATCATTGTGTCCAGCTAAAAATAATAGTTTTCTAAAATAAAATAATAAATGTGTATTTTTAAAAGTTAACATAAATTTTTTTTACTACATAAGCCTACCTAATACTTGTATAAATCACGTTTTTTCTGAACCTATCGATTCTTTGAAAAGGTGAGGTGCGAACATTTTTCATCACTTCACTTAAAAACTCCGAATATTTTCACAAATATAAATAATATTTTACAAAAAGTTACCATTTTGATAAATTTTTTGCACAAAACTTTGCGGCTAAGGAAAACAAGAACTAGGCTTTTTTTGTGTAAGAATATTTCTTTATTGACTCATATTAACACTCGAACGGGGTAATTGCTCATATTTGGTACAAGAAAACGAAAGTAGAAAAACAAAAAGTAAGAAATAATCATTGCCAATCACCCCATGTTAAAATATTTCGTACTTGTCTGAGCCCTTAACTGCAGTTAAGTATTTGGTGGAAATAGGCTATAAGGATTGAGAATCACTTGAAATTAAAAAAAAAAAAACAATAAGATGTTCGCTGAATTTGAGTTTTTCGTTTTCACTTCACCGTTTCATAGAACGAGAATTGCATCCCTGATCTATTCGTGCTTTTTTTTAGTATATTTGCTTTTTTTACTCTTGTTAGTTATATTTTGTCGTAATCAATAGGGTGGTCCTTAAAATATCAACGTCTAATTTGTACGTACAAAATTAGGACATCAAAAAAATGTCCTGTTTTTAAAATCATTTTTAGGGGTCGCCACCAGAGTATGAAATTAAAAACAAAAATTCCAAAAAATCAATGTGTCAAATATAACAGACTAATTTTTTTTTTTTTTTTGGTAGCGACCTCTAAAAGTTGTTTTCAAATTTTTCATATTTATTAATTTATTAATTACACTGGTCTACAAATTTCAACTTTTTTTCTGCGAATAAGACGGGACCTGGTGTTTCTGAACGGATTTTTCGTGCTGAACACGAATCCGGGGTCAAAAATGTCCCATCACGTCACGTTTTCGAGAAAAAAGGGGTTGAAACCCCTAAAAACAGCGTTTTTGGCCATTTTCGAAAAATTATAGAGCTGAACCCTGACGTGGTACAAATTTTGCATATATCAGAAATTAAAGGCTAAACCGTGCCCTTTCGAATGAGCCCTATGCCGAATTGATCGCGTGCACCCTTAAAGCAGGGGGTGTATTTGTGTTTAGGGGTGCAGGAAAAATTGATCACAGAAAGAATTTAATCTTAAACGATCATAGAAAATTAATAATGCCAAGGTTTTAACTATATTAAAAGTCGCTGATTACGAATCTGCAGTTAGATTTTAAAAATTTAAGAAATTTATATGGTCGTTTAAGATGAAATTCTTTCTGCGATCAATTTTCCCTGGACTCCTAGACACAAATACACCCCCTGATCTAAGGGTGCATGCGATTAATTCGGCATAGGGCTCATTCGAAAGGGCACGATTTAGCCTTTAATTTCTGACATATACAAAGTTTGTAGCACGTCAGGGTTCAGCTCTACAATTTTTCGAAAATGTCCAAAAA